AAAAAAGTTCATTATTCCTTATGTATTTACTGAGCACACAATTGTCATAGAAGGCAAAAATAATTTAGGTAAACAGGGTAAAGTAAGTCCCCGGCAGAAAACTTTCCTTTTAACAAACAGCAGCTCAAAAATAGCTCCCTTTTTAACCTCATGCAGTTAACCCCAGTAAAACAGTGGCCCTTAATAAGCACATTCCTTTCCCTTTAGGGGCGCTAAGATAAGGAAGCTAAAAGCAGACTAGGGGGGATGCCTGCAGCTGCAAGATGTATGGGAACAGACACAGAAACTCTCCCTTCCAGATAAGCAGGACAAAGAAACACAGACTAAGAGTCTAAGAGCCTACGTGGTCAGGGACTGGGATAAGAGCTGATAAAAAGCTCTGCTCTGCACAGATAGCACACCTGGTCCCAACTAAAGCGTCCTCGGGCCCTAGGAGGATAAGACATCCCCTCCTCACGAGCTCCCTCCTCGCTAGCCCATTTATAAAAAGCCTGACATTTTTACTACAACTTGGCAACCTGCTCCGGACCCCTCTCTGTAACAGAGAGCTGTTCTTTCCTTTTGCCTGTTAAACTGCTCCAAACTGTGTGTCTGCAACCTCCATCTCCTTGGCTGTGAGACCAAGAACCTTGGTATTTACCCCAGATGAGGCAGCTTCACAATTACAGGTGCCTACTACATACTGGGCATTATGGAGATACTGAGAGTAGAGTACAGTTTTGGACAAATAATTTCACACCATACTGTATTTTCATGCAATACTGTAACTGTAGAACTGTGTATTAAGTGTTTTCATACAGTACTATAACTGTTACATTCTGAATCCCATAATGAGAGACATCTAAGTACAAAACCATGGCAAGAATACTGTGGCTTTTTATATTTGAGTCAAACTTAAAAGTGTCCTGGCTTCATAAACTCTTTCCAAAAAAAACCTCCTCAGCATTTTTAACTTATAAGTAGATGGCAACATTTTAATCAAAACAACAAAATTTCTGATATTATCTGTGACAAATGCAGGAAGTGTACTTCCACTCTCAAAAAACACCCTGAATGAACACAACTCTCACGTGGAAGTTTATTTTACTGGGGTGAAACTATATTTTTGCTAAATAATCTCTAATTTAACAAAGTAAAAGATAGCTGTCACAATTCTCAATATAAACAACAGCTTTTCCAAGTCAACCAAAAAGAGTAGAGTTTTGCACCAAAAACTGACAATCTTGTCTTTTGCTATTAAAAACCTACGGTTAGCAATTGCTAAAGAACTGTGGAGACTTTAGAAAGAGGGGGGTGGTACATATGTTCAATTCTTTTTTCCAAACATGTCAATAGAACAGAAGGCGCAGTACTTTATGAATGCCAGAACTAAGCAAACTAGTGATTTGCTTTTTTTAACATGGAAAAAATCCTTCACACAGTATTAATTATATTATTTTCCAAGTGCATTGGGTTTGACTGTAAGAAAATAAATTATTGGGGCCAAAAATTAATCAGACATGATTAAAAGTTCCTCCAGCAAAAGTCATGTTTGCAAACTACCTAACTCAACCATGATTACCCATATGTAGAAACTTCACACTTACATCACAATTAAAGACATAAACTGAAATTGGTTGGCTGTTTTTGGGCTTCCTCTGATTAATCATTCACAGGGCAACAGTGTGACCTTAAAACTAACAGTTTCCCCAGCTCTTTACCTCTGGAGTTCTGTTATGGAACTTGTTGGCTTCAACAATGAAGGGAAATTGTAGTGCCTATATCCCATCAGTTAGAAATAGGATAGGAATTTACAGGAGTTTAGTTCTGCCATTCAACTGGTACAAGCAGAGGGTAGTAATGCTGGTTAAATTAAGACTTTTTTTTTTTTTTTAACAGTTATACTGTGGAAAGTTATTCAAATTTCAAATTTATTTACAGTGTTTGAAAAGCACACAACAGAAGATGTTCATTTATGCAACAAGTCAATCATCTGTGGTATGTATGGAAAATAAAAATCTAAGGTAAGTCAAACATACAAACTCTACCTCTCGCTTTCTCCATTAGAATATACACATTGGAAATCTAAGTTCCAAACAGTTCCTCTCTACTGAAGATAGTGAAATTTAGTGCAAGCCCCCTAACTATCAATTTTTTGGATGCTTACAAAATGTTGAGCCTTGATGGTGGAAGAGGATTCTATTTAAAAGAGATGATCATATTTTTAAAAGGCTAAATTGACTCAGTTTATTTTCAAAATAAGGGTTGATCCATGTTTTCAGTTTATTGTCGTACAGAAAACATTTTATAAAATAATAAGGTAGACTTCCACTTCAACATATTTACGTAAAAACATCACAGTGCAAGAAAGTGATCACAATTAAGCATGAAGACATCAAAAGTCAGCCAGTATTTTAACTACAGAGCAGAATATTCTTGCTGTCCCTTCCTAGAAAATGTTGGCACATTCATTAACTGCTCAGGTTACAAAAATCACTTCGTGTCCAATTCTTGTCCTTCAATATATTTTCATAACTACACTGTGTTACATTAATGCTGGTGGACAAAATAGCTCCTGTAAAATCTAAAAACCTTTCAGGTAGCACAAGGATTTAAAACCAACTAGGAGAAAGCTCTCCCAGAATATTTTTTATGTAATTTTCTGTCCATTACCACAATAAGAGTAAAAAGCTGTTTTACCTTAAAAATAAGCTAAAGGAAAATAATTTCATTTTTCCTTTAAAACATTTCTTAGCTTTTAAATAGAGAGAAAAAGTTTTAATTTTCTTGAGGGAGGAGAATATTTCGTAAGTAAAAACATCAAATGTTGTACAAATGTTTCATTTAGGAAACAAATACTTAGATTCAAAGGATTCTAAAACATTTCATCATTATAAGAAAAGTGTAATTTAAAGCTAAAAAATTGTAATACATCAAACTAATATCAATTACTCATTAACATGTTCTTTTGTTTTTCGCAAAATCCACAATTAAGGAATAGTGGGTTAGGTGAGACATTTTCCCCAACATTTGGTCAGATTAGCTAAGAAGCTCTGGGCAAAGGATGCCTCCTCTGAATCAGGATCTTGGCCTCTTAAATGAGGGCACTGGACTAACTGCCTATTCACTAACTGCTTCTAATCCACATATTTACCACAATTGTTCATCTTACATAATCCTTCCAAGGATGAAGTGTTTCAACTCAATGAATTTTCCAGACAAAGCTCTCCCGTTTAAGTGGCAAAACTCTTCTTTAAACTTTAAAATTTTTACTTTAAAATGTTATGTCCAATGTATTTTCCTGCCACCTTAAAAGATGTTGAGGGGTAACTAACAACAAGTCTCTAAATGACACAGTCTCCTGTACTTGCCAGCTGATGACAGGATCTGCAGATACATCTCAGGGTCTGCTCCGACTCTGAGAAACTCTGGGCCACATTGAGTGAGAAAGACAATAATACCACCTACACTGCATCGCTTTGTTTCAAAGACCAACAGAGTTATAATATATCAAAGTGTTTGTAAAGTACAAATTACCATACGAATGCAAAGGACTGCTCTAATAAACCTAAGCAAACTTCTCCCTGATAACGAAATCTGGATAGTTTTAGAAAATACATGTTGTTTGTCAAGACTTGTGCAATAGGCCACACGTGGTGGCTCACGCCTGTAATCCCAGCACTTTCAGACTCAGGCAGGAGGATTTCTTGAGCTCAGGAGTTCAACACTAGCCTGGGAACATACCGAGACCTCATCTCTACAAGAAATAAAAAAAATTAGCTGGGTGTGGTAATGCACAACTGTAGTTTCAGCTATATAGGAGGCTGAGGTAGAAGGATTACTTGAGCCCAGAAGATTAAGGCTGCAGTGAGCCTTGATCATGCCACTGCACTCCATCCTGGGCAAAAGAGCGAGACCCTGTCTCAAAAAAAAAAAAAAAAAAAAAAAAAAAAAGAAAAAGAGAAAGAAAAAAACTTGAGCAATGATGGCTCTGATGCTTTGGTTACCTGGCATTTTGTTCTTCTGCTTCTAATTATGCTTCTAATTGCACCAGGTATGGGATTCAGTTTCTGTCTTCTCGAGTCTATAAATCTGGCTTTAAATAGGTGGAAACCAAAACCTACAGATCTATTACTTTAGTAAATGCTGTGTCATCACTACTTACTTTGAAAGAGTGGTTCCCAACCTAGGGTAGGCATCAGACTCACCTAGGAAGCATTTTTAAAAGTGAGATTTCTAGGCTCTAGTCCTAGGGATTCTGATTCAGTATATCTGGAGTAGGACGCAGAAAAACTCTATTTTTTTCCAAAAGCTTTCTAGGTAATCTCAACAAGCAATCAGTTCAGTTTTGGAGACATATTACTTTGCCCTCAATTTCTTCTCTATTTTAGTAGCTGCTAGTATGTTTGTTTTCAGTATAAAAATCTCCCCTTGCATTAATCACAAGTACATTTAGAACAGACAGCCCATGATTTTGGCATAGATCCACAGAGAGATAGTCATTACACTTCTTTACAATAAAATTTAAAAATGATGAATTAACCTCATAGCTAAGACAATGCACATAGACGCCAAATGGTGGCTGGTTCTGTGATTACAGAGCAACTGTTTTCTGCTTTACTTGTAGTCAGTCACTGACAAACATGAAGACCATATTACTACTGAATAAAGATGGCAGAACTCCTCCAAATAACAGGAAGATGGCTAACCAGCTAATCACTATTATTTAGAAAATGTTTCTACCAAACAAAGTATTTCTTAAAAAAAAAACTAGTTTCCTATAGAAACCCAAAGATTTCCACACTTCTGAAGTCTACCACAAAGCAAAAAGTTGACCAAAACTACAGTTGTTTAAAACTATGTTCAATTACTGTGAAATATAAGTGTAAAATAGGTGTGATTTCATCCTTTAGGAGGTTTCATGGGCACAAATGGAATTCAGTTTCCATTTATTCTACTCAAATAGTTTTGTGAAAACGACAAATGAAGTATTTGGTATAATATAGTTCTGAACACCATACCTTCCAAATTTAATACAAAAGCCACATTTGGATTTTCCAGATGTCCCAAGTGTGTCTAGGCACTGCGGAACGTCGTCATGTCTTTGGGTTCTCTGCTGGGGACGCACCAGTCATCAGCCTCGTGGTTGGTGTTGTAATGCTTCCAGGCAGCTTTGTTATACACTGGGAGTCTTTCTATTGAGTCTGTTGACAAAGCCTGAAAAAAAAAAAAAAAAAAAAAAAAAACCTAAGACCTATTAAGTCTGGCATTTTTTAGAATTCATTATTTGAGAAAATAGAGAATGGTAAAAAGGTTATGACAAATTAGATAACATTCTATTAGTATCTTATTAATCCTTATACCACCTAACTATACTTTTAAATGGTATGTACATTTGAAACATCTTATTTATTAAATCTATGGCACTGACTGACGTGCAGGTTGACTGAGTTTGTTGCTTACAGTAGTTCCCAGCCATCCTGGAAGCTGCTGTATTGAAATTTTACACAAAACATGACCCAGACCAGAGTTGGCAAACTGAAGAAGTTGGTTAAATGTAAAAACATACAAATCGATATATGTATCTTAATATATGTATATAAATTTAATGAACTCTATTTTAATTATTTACTAGAAGAAATAGTTTTTTTTTTTTCCAGTATAGTCACTGTGTTTAAAAAAACTCATCACAATCCAGGCACAGTGGCTTATGCCTATAATCCCAGTGCTTTGGGAGGCTTACACAGGAAGACTGCTTGAGCCCAGGAGTTGGAGACCAGCCTAGCAACATAGCAAGATCCTGTCTCTACACAAAATAAAAGTATCAGCTAGACATGGTGGCACATGAGTGTAGTCCTAACTACTTGGGAGACCGACAGAGGAGGATCACTTGAAGCCCAGGGGTTCAAGGCTGTAGTGAACTGTGATTGTACCACTGTACTCTGGCCTGGCAACACAGCAAGACATTGTCTCTATAAATACATAAAAATTTTAAAACTCATTATAACATTATTAATAAATATAAATCTATGTCTAAGGCATCTTGGCTTTTTTGTGAACATTTCTTGGCCCTGGGTTTGAACCTGTGTCTTCTGCAGCCTCCAATTTCAGTCACTGTGCACAAGATTGCTGCATCATGCATTATTTCATGTTTTCAATATATTATTACCATTAATTCTCCATTGTATTTCCTGAAAGTCACTGGAACCCGAGGTAAACTACGTTTCTGGTTATCTTCTTCAAGTTAGGATTTTTCAGTAGTATTTCCACCCCAGGCCAAAGGCATTTCCTAAGATGCAGAACATCCTGAACCAGAAAATCTCATTCTGATAATGCTAAAGTCTTTTTTTTTTTTTTTTTTGAGACAGAGTCTCGCTCTGTCTCCCAGGCTGGAGTGCAGTGGCGCGATCCCCACTCACTGCAAGCTCCGCCCCCGGGTTCACGCCATTCTCCTGCCTCAGCCTGCCGTGTAGCTGGGACTACAGGCACCTGCCACTGCGCCCGGCTAATTTTTTATATTTTTAGTGGAGACAGGGTTTCACAGTGTGAGCCAGGATGGTCTCGATCTCCTGACCTCGTGATCCGCCCGCCTCGGCCTCCCAAAGTGCTGGGATTACAGGCGTGAGCCACCGCGCCCGGCACTAAAGTCTTTGATGTTGACAATTTTAATGATTCTCTAAGACTTCTTGTCTTCTATTTTCTCTAAGGTAGAACTAAAAACCTTTCACCTCCATATTCTCTCTAAATATTCCAGAATTTCTTGATCTATAGGCTAGATCAAGCTTGTCCAATCCATGGCCCACAAGGCCGCATGCAGCCCAAGAAGGCTTTGAATGAAGTTCAACACATTTGTAAACTTTCTTAAAACATTATGAGATTTTTTTTTTTTGTAATTTTTTTTTAAGTTCATCAGCTATCGTTAGTGTATTTTATGTGTGGCCCAAAACAGTTGTTCTTCCAATATGGCCCAGGGAAGCCATAAGATTGGACATTCCTGGGCTAGATCAAAATGTTATATTTCGTCATAAAAATACTGCATTGGGCCAGGCACAGTGTCCACGCCTGTAATCCCAGCACTTTGGGAGGCCAAGGCAAGTGATCACCTGAGGTCAGGAGTTCAAGATCAGCCTGGCCAACATGGTGAAACCCCATCTTTACTAAAAATACAAAAATTAGGTGCCTGTAGTCCCAGCTACTTGGGAGGCTGAGGCAGAACAGCTTGAACCCGGGAGGCGGAGGCTGCAGTAAGCCAGGATCATACCACAGCACTCCAGCTTAGGTGACAGAGCAAGACTCTGTCCAAAAAAAAAAAAAAAATTGCATTGATGTTGCCCTTTTTCCTCAAAATTGACATGGTTAAAAAAACAAACAAAAAATACCATCTGGAAAGAATTTAGTCTTTTCAGATTTTTCCAATATAAATTCTTCAACATTTTCTATAAAATAGATGCCATCTAGTGGCCAGAACAAGAAACTAGAGTCACTAAATCAGGCATGAACAGTCACCAGTTAGCCGAAGAAGGGGAACGATGGAACCTAGTGTTTTTCCAACCATGTAAAAATGTATGGATCCCTCCTTAATGCATTGAACACTCCAGGCAAGCAAACTAAGTGCTTCTGTGTCCATCGGGTAAGCTATATGCTTACCAAGAGTCACTTGTGCTTGTTCCCAAATCTGTTTGTACAGTTCTGTCATAATTACAAAATCTATTACATTAGCAAAGAATAAAAAAGGGAATGTTTCTTTGAAAACTAAGATGAATGTTTTGGAAAGACTCCTGAAGGAAAGTCACATAAAACTTGCTGTCAAATCAGTCAGGAGGTATCTGTAAAGGACAGCATAGAAGTCCAAAAAGAGTATGCACTTGTTTTTTTAAAGAAACTAAAATGATGCACTGTCAGTACAGCTTTTGCAAAAAAAGACAATGTGACACTCCAAACTGCAGACCCATATACAAAGAAAAGGCCTTGGCAGTACATCAAAAGTTTGGTATATCAATGTTCATTCATGTGTTTTACATTAAAATTAAACTTGTATGATATATAACTTATGATTCTCTAATTTAACCCAATTTTTTTCCTATTAATAGCCAGAGTCCTGATCACTCCAGGATACAAATCTCTTTCCCCATAGTTGAGGGGATCATCTATCAAAATTGGTGAGAACCCAGGCAAAAAACCATAATCTTTTTTCTATGTAAACAGCATGTGGTAGAGTTAAATTTCATTACAGTTAAGTATGGGCATCTATTCTTATCATCAAAAGAAATATTAAATCAAGAAGACTACAGCTATTACCTTAATGTAGATAACTGCATCTGTCCCGTAACCCTCTAGGGAATACAACTTCAAGTCTCCTTGGAAGTATTGTGCGTAAAGACGTGATATGGGCAATCCATAACCAAAACCAGCCTATTTGATGAGAAAAACAAAATTCTATTCAGAGAGCCACACACTGTAATACTTTTCTAATTAAGATAGATGCCACTGAGGACCCTCGGGCTTTCAGAGCCTATATCTGAGAGATGCATTATATTTAATATAATTAATATTTAAGCATTAATAATGATTAAACTGAAGTTTACTCGAGTACTGTATCAGCTAACTTCCCTCTGGTCATTTAAAACTCTTTATTCTTTCTATAAAAAGACTTGTGGTTGGTCTGGAAAAAGCATATTGCTTTTCCTTGCTGCCTGCTTGATCGTATTGTGTTCGGAATTGGTTCCTTCCGGTGGGTTCTTGGTCTGCGGACTTCTCCAGGAGAGGGGAGAAGAGCTGCATAAGTGGCTGGCAGAGGCAGGGAGAGTGACAAAGAGACAAAGAGAGTCAGAAAGAGACAAAGAAGTCAAAGAGAGAGATAGTAGCAAAGAAAAAACAGTGTACCCTATTCATTTACAAGCCAGGGTAAATTTAAAACCTGTAATTGATAATTGAAGGTCTTCTCTGTAACCCTATAATACTCCAATACCACCTTGTTGTCCATGTAAACAAGGGCATAGCCTGAAAGCACTGAGGCCACTGACAACCCATAGCTTTCCTATCAAAAATCCTTAACCCAGCAGGTTTCCTAACAGGGGATCTAAATCTGAAGGTCCAACCACACAAAGGAGGAACTCCCTTCAGGACAGGACGATAGATGTTTCCTCCCAGGCATTAAGGGAAAAAGACACAATGGGTATTCAGTAAGTGATAAGGAAACTCTTGTAGAAGCAGAGTTAGGAAAATTGCCTAATATTCGGTCTGCTCAAATGTGAGCGCTTAAGGTAGTTACAGAATCAGGAAGGAGCCATCTATACCAATTTTAAGTTAATATGGACTGAAGAAGATCTTATTAATAGCAAAGAATAATTGAAATCCCAAACTTACAAGGTTTTCAATAAAAGTAAAATTTGCTAAAAGCTAACAGTGTAACATATATTATCCTAACTTCTAATCTCATGGAAATCAGACCCTATCAGTGCCCCTCAAAGCTCAAGTCCCTCAGCGCAGGGCCATACAACCATACCCCTACTTACAGGGTTAAAAATGGCCACTGCTACAGGAACCGGAATATCCAGTTTATCTACTTCATTAACCTACTACCACAAACACTCAAAGGATTTCTCAGACAGTTAGCAAGAAATAACAAAATCTATCCTTACTCTACATCCCAAATACTCTCTTTAGCGGCAGTGACTCTCCAAAACCGCCAAGGCCTAGACCTCACTGCTGAGAACGGAGGACTCTGCATCTTCTTAGGGGAAGAGTGTTGTTTTTACACTAACCAGTCAGGCATAGAACGAGATGTCACCCAGTGTTTACAGGAAAAGTATTCTGAAATCAGACAACGCCTTTCAAACTCTCACATCAACCTCTGGCATTGGGCAACATGGCTTCTCCCCTTTCTAGGTCCTGTGACAGCCATCTTGCTATTACTCACCTTCAGGCCCTGTATTTTTAACTTCCTTGTCAAATTTGTTTCCTCTAGAATCAAGGCCATCAAGCTACAGATGGTCTTACAAATGGAACCCCAAATGAGCTCAACTAACAACTTCTACCGAGGACCCCTGGACTCACCCACTGGCCCTTTCACTGGCCTAAAGAGTTCCCCTCTGGAGGCCACTACACTGCAGGGCCCCTTCTTCGTCCCTGTCCAGCAGGAAGTAGCTACAGCGGTCATTGCCCAATTCCCAACAGCAGTTGCAGTGTCCTGTTTAGAGGGGGATTGAGAGGTGAAGCTGGCTGGGCTTCTGGGTCCACTGATGGAATTACCCCATGTGCTATCACCATCCGAAAGTAGGCTGCCGTGTTCCTACTACAATCCCTGTCAGGGTTGGAGGGCAGACCTGAAAGACAGGGTGAAAGTAAACCCTTCCAGCACGGGCGGTGGCAAAAAGTGGCTGGCTTGTTAAAGATTTGGAAAGATCAAAACTGAGTGAAGGATGAGAAGGAGGTCTGGAAGAGAGACGTGTGGATGTTCCTCTCTGGACTTACAGTGTAAAGCTAGCCTATCCATGCAAAGACCCACCAGAAGGTATCCACAGGGAAGAAGCCTTCAGTAACCAGGTGGACAAGAAAGCCACTCCTGTGGGCATCTGCTGGCCTTTTGCCAGCTACCCTACTGCCTGCTGACTGGGACCATCTACAAAGTGACGTCAGCAGAAAGGAGGCTCTGCAAGAAATTAGTAACAGTCTTAGCTTTGTTACGGGCATGCAGATGGATGGGGGAGCCTGTTCAGGTCAAGCCTCCTGTTTTCTTAAAAATTCACATACATTTTATATCCTAAAACAACAAACACTTACATGGCATTTACCATGAGCCAGGCACTATAAAGAGCATTTTCACATATATCAACTCACTGAATTCTCACAATAACTCCATTTTTCTAACCGGGGAAACTGTGGCATTCAGAGGTCAATAATTTCCCCAAGGCTGCACATCTAAGATGCAGCAGTATCAGAAATGGAACCAAAGAGTTTAGATCCAGAGTCTGGACTAGCTCACTATGCCACTCTCTACAAAAATTCTACAGTATTTGTTTACTACAAAAACAGCAGCTCCCGTCTCTCCCTCTACTTTTTAGCATAAAACTAGACTTATGAAAAGATGCTGTTTCTCATTTGACATTGTCTGTCTGCCCCTTGACATATGGATGCCAACTCTTAGAAGCCATGTATCTCAACTGGACAAGGACATTATTAGAGCAAGCATTTCAACTATAGTACAAGCCACAGAATTTGTGGTATGCATCTGGTAAAACTGAGAGGTGAAGTCGGCTGGGCTTCTGGATCGGGTGGGGACTTGGGGAACTTTTCTGTTTAGCTAAGGATTGTAAATGTACCAATCAGCACTCTGTCTAGCTAATCCGGTGGGGACTTGGAGAACTTTTATGACTAGCTAAAGGATTGTAAATGCACCAATCAGCACTCTGTCAAAATGAGCCAATCAGCTCCCTGTAAAACAGACCAATCAGCTCTCTGTAAAATGGATCAATTAGCTCTCTGTAAAATGGACCAATCGGCAGGATGTGGGTGGGGCCAAATAAGGGAATAAAAGCAAGCCACCCAAGCCAGCAACAGCAACCCACTTGGGTCCCCTTCTACGCTGTGGAAGCTTTGTTCTTTGCTCTTCACAATAAATCTTGCTGCTGCTCACTCTCTGGGTCCGCACAACCTTTATGAGCTGTAACACTCACGGCACAGGTCTGCAGCTTCACTCCTGAAGCCAGCGAGACCATGAACCCACCAGGAGAACAAACAACTTCAGACGCACTGCCTTTATGAGCTGTAACACTCACCACGAAGGTCTGCAGCTTCACTGCTAAAGCCAGTGAGACCACAAACCCACTGGGAGGAAGAAACTCCAGACACATCTGAACATCTGAATAAACAACCTCTGGACACACCAACTTTAAGAACTGTAACACTCACCACGAGGGTCTGCGGCTTCACTCTTAAAGTCAGTGAGACCAAGAACCCACCAATTCTGGACACAAAACTATCAGAATAAAGTCCTAGTAACTTCCTAGGAAGGGGTCTAAAATAGATCTATCTTGTACTATATCCCATCATGTTACAGCATAATTCTACTGGAAATGTCAGAGAGGTTTCCAAGCCAAGAAGAATAGAGCTCTTCTAGAATTACAGACAAAATTTTGGCAACATACTTTCTGTGGGGAAGTTAGAACATAAAGATAAGGATGGAATCAATTCAAAAGCTGATCCTATTAAACCTGAAAATAGGTGGAACTAAGATTAATAAAAACACCATCAAAGAAATTATAATTTAAGACTTCAGGTTGGTGATTGAACAGATTAGAATTTTAGTCTTATTTTTTAGTCTAGGATATGAGATCATTCTAATGACAAATACTTGAGAAAAAAGTAAACACTAAAAAGTAATTCAGTGTTGACCAAATACTGCTAAAACCAGTAATTTATTCCCCACATTAGAAATAATGTGGTTAACCACATTTTGAAAAATGGTTTTACACAGGAAAACTACTGCTATATCATGATCAAACGTTGTAACAAGAACTCCAGATCTCTGTCTTGTGCCCATTTCAGTTGGAAGAAAAAAAAGTGTTCTGAAGGTTGTTTAAATGTAGGGGAAAGTGTGCATTTCTAAGAGCTTCCTTCTTCCTTGTGGAGTACCCTACATGATGGCTTAACTTACAGCTAGAGCATGTGGAAGGCAATTGACAGAAACACACTTCACTATTTCTTGATAACATACCAGGGGCACCGCGCGGGAAGTCTCAACACGAGGTCTCGGTGCAGTTGAATACATGTAGTTGAAGAGTCTGTCAATTTTCCTCAAAGGAACACCACCTCCTCGGTCACTCATCTAAGATAAGAAAAGGATCATGCTCTATGCCCAAGTCCTCAAAACAGCAAAATATCAACACATACTCATAGCATCACAGTTTAACTGCTGGTGGGAGAGTGCTGCGTTTTTTGTTTTTGTTTTTTCTTTTTTGAGATGGAGCTTCGCTCTGTCACCCAGGCTGGAGTGCGGAGGCGCGATCTCGGCTCACTACAACCTCTGCCTCCCAGGTTCGTGCCATTCTCCTGCCTCAGCCTCCCGAGTAGCTGGGACTACAGTCGCCTGCCACCACACCCAGCTAATTTTTTTGTTTTTGTTTTTTTTAGTAGAGACAGGGTTTCACCATGTTAGCCAGGATGGTCTTGATTTCCTGACCTCATGATCCACCCGCCTCGGCCTCCCAAAGTGCTGGGATCACAGGCATGAACCACCACACCTGGCCTGAGCGCTGCTTTTGAAAATGAATACAACACAATCCAAGTTGCCAATATAAGCATTTCCCTCGCTGCTGAACCCAACCCAACTCCTCTAATATGTGAAATTCTAATAATAAACTCCATCATAATACTGCTGTGGCTTTGTATATTGCCGGGAGTCTCATTAACAGTGCATTATAGCACAGAACTGGACACAAGTTAACGCTATCTTGTATGTAACTATAATTTGTTATTCTTTTCTGGTGGGCGGCGTGGTGACTAGAATCAAACATGCACACCTGTAATCCAGCACACTTTGGGAGGCAGAGGCAGGTGAATCACTTGAAGTCAGGAGTTCAAGACCAGTTTGGCCGACACAGCGAAATCCCATCTCTACTAAAAATATAACAATTAGCCAGGTGTGGTGGCACATGCCTGTAGTCCCAGCTACTTGGGAGGCTGAGGCAGAAGAATTGCTTGAACCCAGGAGATGGAGGTCACAGTGAGCCAAGATTGCACCACTGTACTCTAGCCTGGGCTACAGAGCAAGACTCCTTCTCAAAATAAATAAATAAATAAATAAAATAAAAATAATAAAAATGCAAGTATTAGGCTGGGCATGGTGATCCATGCTTGTAATCTCAGCACTTTGGGAGACTGAGACAAGAGAATCACTTGAAGCCAGGAGTTTGAGATCAGCCTGCACAACAGAGTTAAGACCCCATTGCTACAAAAAATTTTCTAAAATTAGCTGGGCATGGTGGCATACAATTGTGATCCCAGCTACTTGGGAAAGAGGATCACTTGAGCCCAGGAGGTGGAGGCTATAATAAGCTATGATTGCACTACTGCACTCCAGTCTGGGTGACAGAGTGAGCTACTGTCTCTAATTAAAAGAAAAAAAAAAAAAGAAAAAATGCATATATTGGCTGGGTGTGGTGGCTCACACATATAATCCCAACACTTTGGGAGGCCACAACAGGGGGATCACTTGGGCCGAGCCGTTCCAGACCAGCCTGTGCAATATAGTGAAGCTCCATCTCTACAAAAAAAAAAAACAAAACAAAAACAAAAACAAAAAAACTTTAAAATTAGCCAGATGTGGTAGTGCATGCCTGTAATCCCAACTATTTAGGAGGCTGAGGCAGGAGGATTACTTGAGCCCAGGACTTCGAGGCTGTAGTGAGCTATGATCTCACCACTGTACTCCAACCTGGGTGACAGAATAAAACCCTGCCTCTATTAAAAAAAAAAAAAATGCATGTACCTTTCACACAACAATAATCACTTCCAAAAATTTATCCTAATAAGCAGAAAAGCATGCAAAGCATGTATGAGAACATCCATCATAGCTCTATGCAGAATACCTAAAACTAGGGGATTAGTTAAAAGAAAGTACATTCTAAAATAGGATACTGTTAACCATTAATTAGATATTATACAGAACTCTATATGCTGGCTTAAGAGATATTGTTAAGCAGGAAAAAAAAAACCAGTTACAAAGAAGCATTTATAATACTTTGTAAAAATTCTATTATAAAAAGGTCTGAAATGATATATAATTTTATTGTCTGTAGAATGAGTAATTTTCTCTTCTTGTTTGAGGTTTTCAGTTTCTGAATTTTCTTCACAATTACTTTAACAGGAAAAAAACAGTATAATTTTCATTTTCAGGGAGGAAAAAACAGAACCGCTACTTTGTGTTTACATCTATAAGCAATTTTACAGCCTAGAACCCCAGAACACTTTCTGATGTGTTCGTAAGGCATGTAAGGTCTTTACATTTTTATATCATTTTTCAACTCAAATAAACAGTATGGCAAATCAAATTTAGTAATTTATTTACGTATAATTTTTGTTTTCCTTCAAAGTTAACATGGACTTATTTTCCTAGCTAGTATCCAGCTTATATTCTCATCTAGTATAGCCATTTTCCTTTGTCACAGAATCTTATTGATTTTACTGCCTATAACAATATAGTTGTCATACACAAATCTGCTTTTAATTTATGTATATATAAAATAGTACTGAATAATATGTATTAAAAGTCAATAGGCTGAATGGCTTATAGTTAAGTTTTTCTATATTTAAAAATTTTTTACAGTATGTATATATTACCTTTATAATGGTAATTATGGAGATATTTTGATTTTTATAACTAAAAAATCTGCCTTGAAATCCCATTTAAAAATCTGCCTCTAATACATCTAAAATTAAGTAATTACACTATCAAAGTATACAAGGACTTTATTAGGAACTGTGGCTGGGTGTGGTGGCTTACGCCTATAAACCCAGCACTTTGGGAGGCCAAGGTGGGTGAATCACTTGAGGTCAGGAGTTCAAGACCAGCCCAGCCAACATGGCAAAACCCTGTCTCGACTGAAAATACAAAATTATCCAGGCATCATGGTGCACGCCTGTAATCTCAGCTACTTGGGAGACTGAGGCACAAGAATCTCTTGAATCCAGGAGGAGGCTGCAGTGAGCCAAGGTTGTGCCACTGTCCTCTAGCCTGGGTGACAAGTGAGACTCTGCTCAGTTAAAAAAAGAAAAAAAAAACTTTTATGTAGCATGATGCTTGAAATTGCTCTTGGCCCTGTAAAGCAATTTATTTTAGTAAGATGAATAAAGAGCTCTGGATATTTTGAGAAATTCAACAATTTGTTAATTATTCATCCCTCAATGATATGCTCTGCTGCACATTTGCTAGTAACATGAATAAGAAGTATGCGCATTCTATAAATACATGAAGGGAGTAAAGAACATATTAGAATAGATATTGAGATAAAAAGGTAGACTTGAGTAAATATTTCCTGGTTTTCCTTAACCTTTTGGCCAGGGAGACCATAACAACAACCTGGCAAGTACAAAATAAGAAGCCATTTCCAGCCTCAGGCTGCATGGGAAAACAACAGGGGCTAAGCAGACAGGACAGAGAGGATGTGAGAAGCATCATCTTGCTAGAGTTTAAAGGGGCAAACTAAGCCACAGGAATAGAGTTAGAAACTACAGTCAAAGTAGTACTTTGCTTTGCAGTCAACAATACAATAAACTGGAGCCAGTGGATTTTAAAGTAGGTGAAAGAGTTTCCAAAAGAGCAGTAATAGATTATTGGAGGATCCAAGTTCTTCAGGAAAAGGAAGGGAGGGAATAATGGTAGAGACAGACATTAAGTCTGTATATATTCAAGGCAAGAAGAGTGGTACCTTTGATGACAAATGTATTGAAAGAGAGATGTGAAAACTAACACGAAACCCTATTAAGATAATGAGATAAGTAATGTCAACAGGAAGGCCAAGGAAGAGAAGTTCGCCAATTATTTTTAAAGTTTTCTCCTCAGTGCACAAAATCACCACGTCAATGTCATCTAACCAAGAGCTGCCCTCCCTAACTTCCTGTTCCTAGTAACACTAGGCTCACTAGGTTAATTCATGTGAATTCCAGTCCCAGACGAAATGAACCACTACTGACATAAGATGACAGCTCTAAAGCCAGGACATTCTACCAACCGTGTATTCACCCAGAGTTCCTAAAGTTTCTTAGCCAACAGCGTTTTCACTGTTAAGTTTGTAAAATCATCAACAGTAAATGAACCAAGACATTTAAATTTTAATTTAAATGACATGTAGGCCGGGCACTGTGACTTACACCTGTAATCCCAGCACTTTGGGAGGCTGAGGCAGGCAGATCACTTGAGGTCAGGAGTTCAAGACCAGTCTGGCCAACATGGTGAAACTCCGTCTCTACTAAAAATACAAAAATTAGTCAGGTGTGGTGGTGCACACCTGTAAATCCCTGCTACTCAGGAGGCTGAGACAGGAGAATTGCTTGAACCCGGGAAAGAGAGGTCGCAGTGAGCCAAGATTCTGCCACTGTACTCCTGCCTGGGTGACAGAATAAGACTCCATCTATAAAAAAAAAAAAAAAGACATGTGGCTATAACACATAGGTTATTTATAGATTATATATTAAACACAGAATTGAAAGAGCAGCTAGGGCTGAAAGACAGAAACAACAACTTTTGTATAGGTTTTTAGCAGAAGGATAAAAGGTAAAAAATGTCAATAATTTGAATAAGCTAAAAAAAAATGGGAAAGAAAAAAACCAAGTCTTGATTCTGAAAGTCCAGGGTAAGTAATGGGGATAAAAGCTCAAATGAAGAAAAAGCAAAAATTTAACATGTAAAGAGAGACTGCAAGAGGAGATGCCTTCATGTGACCTTGGATGTGAGGGGAGAAACAACAGGTGAAGGCAGAGCCTAATACAGACAGCACTTCTAGAACAGTCTTTTTGAGACCTTTACAAGCCTATTTTATTTTAAACAGCTTTATTCAAACATAATTAACATAGCAGGCTTCTAGAACAGTCTTTCTGAGACCGATACAAGCCTATTTTATTTTAAACAGCTTTATTCAGATATAATTTACATAGCAGACTGGACGCAGTGGCTGATGCCTGTAATCCCAGCACTTTGGGAGGCGGAGGCAGACAGATCACTTGAGGTCAGCAGCTCGAGACCAGCCTGGCCAACATGGCAAAACCCCATCGCTACTAAAAATACAAGAATTAGTCGGGTGTGGTGGCAGGCGCCCGTAGTCCCAGCTA